GCTCTGCTCTCGGTATGCGCGGAGTGAGTGCGGCGGGGCGGGGCGGGGCGGGGCCGCGAGCGGGGTGTGTTGGGGCGCGGAGGGAGGCGGTGCCAGGCGAGCGGAACAGTGAACATTTGGACCATGACGACGCCAACAGAGATCGTCCGCCCGTTATAATGCACGGACACAACAGCAGGCCACTTCGATACATCGAACAAACTCAAAGCTGAATCGAAAACGGGATAATGCCCGGTACGGCCCGGCCCGGCGGCGGCGGTAGCGCGGGAGGCAGCAGTCGAGATGCCTTCCGCGAGGTATCGAGCAGCAGGAGGGGACGAGACGGGACGACCAACTTGCCCAGCAGGTGCCACCGGCCCCGCCGATGCACACTCCAGTTTTCCTCTGCCCTCCAGTAAACCACACCACCGGACTGGACTGTGTCACACAGCACGTTCCAGACTGCAACGGCGTTTGTTTACTGTGCCACGACGACGACGCTCTCGTCTTGTTCTTTGCCTCTGTGACGGCCATAGCGTCATCGTCGTCGGAGAGCAGCTGCAGCAAACGCCGCCAAGCAGCAGGTCGTCCACCTCCCTAGGCTATCGTGACGGCCGATCGCTCAAAAAACAAAACACGTGTCGCGGCGGCGCAAAGACGGCGCAAGGCGGGCGGCGCGCGCCACGGCCGGCATGGGCGACGCGCAGGGGGGCAGCAGCAGGGCGAGCAGGGCAGCACCCGCGAACAAGTCCGCAGGGCGAAGGAAGGCAAAGCGCCGGCGGCAGCGGGCGGGGCGCCTGCTCACCGCGGGGGGCACGAACACACACGCACATAGAGGCAGAGTGAGTGAGGGAGAGTGCACCATCAGAAAGAAACACGGCATAGCAGGGCACTGCTGGCGGGGCAGAGTGCAAAGGGGCGCGAAAAGAGCTTAACAAGCAAAGGCGGCAGCAGCAAGGCAAGGCGCTCGCGCCCGGGCCCAGGCCCGGTCCGTCCGCGGTGGTTATGACTAGCCCGCGGCTGCTCCGGCCCCGCCCCGCCCCGCCACGCCACGCCAACGCTTGTTTGTAAAACAAGACGCGGGCAAATTAAACCGCGCGCCATCCAATACGGCCCGCCGGCCGGCCGGCCTCACGCTGCGTACGCCTCGCGAGCGGTACGGGGCGCGTGCCAGACTGCGTGGCGCGTTAATTTGAATCTCTCGGCACAGGTTTAGTTCCGGGCGGGGCGGGGCAAGAGGGCGTGGTGACCGCTCCAGCTCCAACCACGCACTGCACTGGCCGCCGCCGCCGCCGTCCGTCCGACTGAACGACCGGCCGCTCCAAAGGGCGCCGTAAGGCATAAAAGGGGGGAAAAGAGGGCTGCGCGAAAATAAAATAAACCGTTGTCTCCACAGTCGTCGTCGTTTTTGCGTTTTTGCTCGTCTCTTTCGCGAACGGCGGCGGCGCCGCTCGGTGCGCGCGGCCGCCTGTATAGAGTGAGAAAGAGAGAGGAAGGTGCGTCCTGGAAGGGATTTTCGTCGCGCTCTAGAACGCGTTATGGAATGCCACCGCGCGGGCCTGACACACTATCGGCGGGGCGGCCGATAAATATTCGCTCGTGCCGGGCTCGTGCAGATTTACATTTCGCGTCCGCGCTCCCCGCCCACTCCTCCGGAGCGGCGGCGGCGGCGGCGGCAGCAGCTACAACAACATGCACGGCGCGGAGAGCGCGCCCGTATCAAAACGCTTCCTTGCGTAAAATCTAGGTCAAGGTGTTGAATCGCCGGAAAACCAAAACCATGCTCTACCGTGCGCCGGGCGCGCGTCCGGGGGCCAAGAGCCGGGGCCGGGGCCGGGGCCGGGGGCCGGGCCGGGTGTCGGCCCTTTGCCGGCGACTCTTTCTCCCCATTACGGGGCGAACTGTTACAGCAACTTAACGAACTGTGGCCTGCTGGCGCGCTGACGGACAAAGCTATCGAGGAAGGTGCGCGCCGCAGCTCGGCCAGGATAGCCGCGAAGCCCCACCAAAGGGCCACGAGAATCCGCCGTGGTCTCCTTGGTCAAGGCAGAAGAGGAAAGCAATCGGGCGCGCGGAGATAGATGGGCGCAGTGCTGCCGCAGCGGCGGCCGCGTGAACAGAAGTACCAGCAGCGGCGCCCGCCACAAAAGACGAGATGGAAACACTCTGGCAAGTCAGGAAATGGCGTTGTTGGGTGCGCCCATGGTGGTCCCTCCCTGTCGGCTGAAGACAAGTCCTCCTGCTGAGGACGCCCCGGGCCGCACGTGCGCGCACACGAAGCAGAGGCACTAGCGGTCCTTCACGCTGCGTGGGCCGAGCCGTGGGGGCCGGGGCGGCGGCAGGCCTCGGAGGTGGGTGCGACTTCTCGCGAAGCAGCAGCAGCAGCAGCGCCGGCTGTAAGATCGTCTCAAAGGACACTGCACCACACAGAAGAAAATATCTTTGAAGAAACACTCGTGGGCCCGCTCTGTGCTTTATAGAGAGTAGGGAAGGGGAGGAGACTTTGCCCCTTGGTAGAGAGACAGTCTTGAGGGGACTGTCTAAAAAGTAAAATAAGTGAGCATAAATTGAAACGGAAGTCCAGAGGGGTGCTCAGTCAGTCCAGAGACGCTAACGTGTTGTAGTCTGCTGGCTGCGCGTCGAGGCTTTAGCCGAGCATCCAAACTAATGCCGTCTCGTTTCCTCGCGAAGTTCGTCATCCAATCCCAGGGCGGCTGGGAGCCTGACAAAGGACGGCCGCCTCGACGGCTGCCCTGCCATATCGGGCGAGGGGTATCTTTACCCTGCGCCTCTTAAAAGAGATGAACAACGGCCCGAATATGACACCCTCCCTGGGTAGCTCCAGGTTTCTGCTGCTGCTTCTGCTCCTGCTCCCAGCTGCATTTTGACGCCGGCGCCGGCTGCCCTAGCGATGCTCCCGCAGTACAAGGAACAAGTCGCAAGTCGCGGCGGCGCTCGTCTGCGCTCGGCTCGGCTCGGCTCGGCTCGTCATGCAGTGCAGTGAGCCCCACACCACACGGCCGCGGCCCGGGCCACGCTAGTTGATCTTGCGGTGGTTCCGCGCTCTGAATTTCGCCGCCGCGCAGCGCATCGCCTCGCCGCTCCGCGCCGAGACTCCGCGCACAGGCAGAGAGAGAGAAGGAGAAAGAGAGAGAGAGAGAGAGAGAGAGAGAGAGAG